TGATTCGATACACAAGAGCATGCTCTACGTACGAACAATTTCTAAAACGAGGTAAATTATTGACAAACAAGTTGATGAAAAAAGAATTTCAGCAGTGTCGTTTAAAGTCACCATTTCTTAAGTTCTGTGGTCGGTACAATGACCTTGTCAGCAAATACAATTGATCACTGAGTCAAATTTTTATACTTATTGATATTCCATTATTTATACACTGAATTGACGATGGATTTTTCCGTTATTTCCCAATCATGACATGGAGCACACAGCGATGTGTCGGCAAGGGATGTTCACTCCTCCATGGCACCTGATCCCACCCCTGATGTTTTGGAGGCTGGCGTGTTTGATCTGCTCCTATTTTTTTGTATTGTTTTATCGACTTTGAATCTTGAATACTGTTCGAAACCTTAACAGTTTAAGGACATACGCCTCGTATTTTTAACTTTTTTTTGTCTTTTTCCACAGAGTTGAAGAGTTCCAATACTTGTAAGAATTGTGTGCTGTTTTTAATGCCTGTATATATGGTGTTGTACACTTTTAAAGCAATTAAGGATAAAAGAAACATCTAGAATATACGTTTAGTATTTTTTTTATTTATATTTTCTTGTTCAAATCATCCAAGTCGGAATTTTCATCAAAGTTCTGATATCTCTCAAAAAACCCTGATGCATGCTGATTTTTTTTTTTTTTTTTTTTTTTGTGTGTGTCTATGAACATCACATTCTGATGACACTATAATCTTAAATTAAGAATATCATGAAAAATGACCGGTAGGTAAGCACCTTGCGTACATGACATGTATATGTCCTTAATTCAATTGGAAGATCTAAGAATTAAGCCTAATCAAATATCAATAAACCGGTGAATTCCGCTTAACAGATTCTTAAACTTTTTCAAGGTTTAAACTTTTTTGTAAATAAAAGAATTTTAATTGTCTGTACATCTTCATTTTTATTGCTGTTTAGTGTTTATACAGTGTAAATGCATAGTAGGAGCAAAGTATCTAATAGAACAGTGCATTCGGATATCGCTAAGTTTCGTTTATCATTTTGGAACTTATAATTTCTATTGAACTTCCGGAGACTGTGAGAGTGAAGTAAACACGGGCACTGGAAGTTAATGTAAATATATAGTATATGTATGTATATAAAAAAGAAGGGTAGGACACTCTTTTTGAGGCAAATTCGGGTTTGACGTATTGTGGGCCTTTCTCAGAAGACTTGACGCGATTAATCGTTCACATATAACTTACTATCAATATATATACCGTTTCGTTCCGCTCCAATGCCGTCCCTTCGAGGAAAAAGATGTTTTTATAACTCCAAGTGCCTAAGAATTTCGCTAGACTGTCTTATTTCCGGTTTATCCAAACTGAATAAAAAGCTAAGTTCTGATTGGTCAATAACAAAATAAAATTTAGACAGCTGGATAGACGTGAAGCGAGAACAATTTGTTTTTCATGGTATGTTCAACGTTTGTTAAACAGTTAGTTGCAGTTTATATATTTTAGCCTTTTCAAAATAAATTTCTACGAGTAATAATGAATATTAAGAAAAAGTTACGTTGTGTATGTGTATGACATTGACCAATCAGAACTTGTTTTTTTATTCAGTTTGGATAAACCGGAAGTAAGACAGTCTAGCGAAATTCTTAGGCACTTGGAGGTATAAAAACATCTTTTTCTTCGAAGGGACGGCATTGGAGCGGAACGAAACGGTACATATATTGATAGTAAGTTATATGTGAACGATTAATCGCGTCAAATCCTCTGAGAAAGGCTCACAATACGTCAAACCCGAATTTGCCTCAAAAAGAGTGTCCTACCCTTCTTTTTTATATACATACATATACTATATATTTACATTAACTTCCAGTGCCCGTGGAAGTAAAAAGAAAAGTTTCGCCGGCAATTCTAGGTATGGACTCTTTTTATTTTCAAATTAAGAATCAGTTTTATATGCAAATACAAATAGTGCAAAATATTTTATTCTGTAAATGTTAAAACGTTGAAGATTGTTTAACTCGAATTTCCTCAGTACTCTGACCTAGTGATAGTTACGTCCCTGCTTCTAGATGTAAAACATCAAACAAAAATCAAAATTTAACAGAATTTGTTATTAGTGTAATTTTTATAATTACATCGAAGGGTGATGGCTGACACGCGATGATGAACATTTCCTGAAAATCCTCCCTACAAGAGATACTGACTAACAGGTCTGATCTTCCCTTTCCTGTCTATCATAATACACTGTGTACATTAAGTCGGCTGCATTTCACATGTTTGGAGCCATTTACATCCCTTAGTATAATGACTGATTCTCGTAAGTTTTATATAGTGTTGTCAAATCGGTTGAAACTCAGAATCCATTGGCGGATCCAGAGGGGGGGTTCCGGGGGTTGGAACCCCCCCTTTATTTTTTGCCAAGTGGAGAAATAGAGAGAAAGAAGGGGGATAAAACGTTTCCCGAGAACAAGTATTTGTACGTCTAACTTAAATATGCATGGAATAGATAGATTCTCACACATTTAGGTTTTTCCATTCACCTTCACCATTACTTTTTATGAGTGAATGGTAGAAAATATTCTACTTATTTTTATATATCTTATATATGAAATGTAACATGCGAGGTTAAATTTAAAATTAGATTCCCGCGATCTTAATTTGGCTGTGTTGGCTACAAGAAGGTGCCATTTTTTTAAACTAAATCTTATGAAGGAACTAAAATTTAATTCAATGTTTTATACCCAACCCAAAAAAAGGATTTTCAAATTCTTTAAGAAAATTCATTCTACTCTTCGGAAATGCTGCAAATCCATTCAGTTATAAGGCTTCAGTAGTTTTTTAAATGTGTTGATTTTTTTTATACGGACTGGGGGTACCTTTTCAAAGAAAAAAAGGACGTAGAACAAAGACATAATTATTTTCCACAATCTTATATTTTTCCATACATGTGTGTGTGAATCTTTGTCTGAGAGTGTGTAAGGGGGGGGGGGGGTTTAGAGGGACACAACCCTGGAACCCTCCCTTTCAAAAATTGCTGGATCCGCCCCTGGAATCGATTAATCGGTAACATCGGTTGACCCTAACTGAGTGATCATCGGCCAATAATCGAATCGGTAACCCTTTGTATAAAATAGGCATTAGATTTTATAAAAATTAGAATTTTATTGTTAAATAATCTAAGTAAAGGTGCATTGTACAGATCGAAATTCTAAAAACAGTATATATGCAGTTTGATTAACTATTTCAGTAATACAGATTTTTGCATGATTAGGAATTACTTGGCCTGGGGCCTGGGAAAAGTAAGCATTGACAGATCAGGTTTTAATTTACATGATCATCTAAAATGTATATGGAATTAATTTTTTAAACTGTTATAAGACATTTAATATTGCAAATTCCTTGTGATTCCGTATGAAATGACAGGTGAATTCCCCCAAATACTGAAAATTAATACATGTATATTTTATTTAAACAAGTAGTTTAGTTTCTTCAGTTTAGAAATACAAATTTCATTATCTTTTGATTTATTTTAAACAGATTTTAAGTACAGTGTATTCTAAAATAGTAAAGGACAACTCTTGAAAGATATATATTTTGATAACAAGAGCCTGTTCTTGAAATAAAAGTGAGAAAACTGTAAAAAAGATATGTGCTGAAATAAACCATTAATCGATTGTTAAAATCTCCAATCGATTGTTTAAAATCGACAGCCTTTCCGACCGATCATCGATTATAAATCGATCATCGTGACAACATCATTACATGCCACAAACATTAAGCTAATTAAATTATTTAGGGATGGACTGTATCCTGTGTGAGTTTAGTACATGTACCTTAATTATGAGTAAATAAATGCTGTAACATTGTCACAAGGCTGCAAGGTTATTCATAAGAAGACACAAGGGACGTGAGAAGGGGCCACACCATTCGCCATATCGCTATAAAAGTCATGTAATGCAATAATGGTGCCTTGCGCCATGCGGTGCATGCTGTAAAATGCAGGCACATAGGGTATTTTGTAGTTTGTGTGTGCATCACACTCTGTGCTAATGATATTTTTCATTGAAGTTAGATGGAATCTGTGATGTATCATACAAGTATAATAAAATTAGAGTCACCATATAAAATATTGACATCCACTGGCAAAGAAACAGACTTTTCCTCCCATTCCATGTGACAGTTTGTAAGTGTCAAGTTAATTTTTACAGCTGACTACAGCTTTATGAAAGTCACACACAAATAAAACATTATTTTACAATAAGATATCTTTTTTAATGAACTCTCCTCATCTTTTCCTGCCCCCTGTCGATGTAAAAATGTAAAAAATGAAACTTCTTTTTTTTTTTGGGAAAAAATATTGATGATTTTGGTAAGTCACATAATTTATACATATTAAAAAACATTCAATCCCTCTAGTTTTTGTCTCATGATTTGTCTTTTTTTTTTTAGATTATATTGTCCGCAGTGCCAATTGTTCCTAACGTTAATTTAACATGAAAATAACGTTAATTTAACGTTAAATATTTAACGTTAAATTAACGTCAATCGAGCTTATACATGAATTTAACGTTAAAAAATTAACGTTAAATTAACATTATTTTCATGTTAAATTAACGTTAAGCGTTAAATTAACGTTAATTAGTTCACACTAATTTAATGTTAAAATGCATAAAAATTGTGTGCATATTTTTGGAATTTTCCTTCCTATTCTTCCAGAAAAATACGTGTTCTTGCATCATAGCAGAAGCTTAACTGATACTACATGTAATCATTATTATTTCTCTAAAGGTACACCAGAAGCTCATCAATTTTGCACTTTTCCTTGTAGCACTGCAGAAAGCTAGGCTTGCATGTTGACTTCATCCCTGATGTCACTTTCTTTTCAATTTGAATATATCCAAAAGGATAAAGGGACCCATCAGCTCTTTCAACAAAATCTCTAAAATTCTGAACATTGCCTCCGATTTCAAATTTTCTGAAGAAAAGAGAAAAACACCAATTCATCCATTAATACTTTTAATCAGGCATATTCAATACAATGCTACAAATCTTCTTTCTTTTTCCAATCTGAAAAAGAAGAGAGGCAAACACATATATTATAATAATTATATGAAAATAAAATACTTCAGCAATACATTAACATCTCAAATTTGTCTAAAATATAATGAATGAAACAAGAGGTCCATTGGCCACATCCCTCACCTGAGCACATGGGCTAGCTAAAAACACAGATCAGTTAAGTATTGAGAAGCTTACTTTATACTTAATGGGGGAGGAGGATTTGAATTTTCCATTACTTGAAAATGTCACTATTACAATAAGCATACATGTATTATTTTGCCATACTTGAAAAGAAGATTTTTAAAGATTTTTCCAACACATTTACCTGATCTCCCATTGTGACCCCTCGCTAACCCCCAATCCCCGGGGCATTATTTGAATAAATTTAAATTTTTACTACTTGCAGATCATGTCAATTTGACAAAACAATTTTTTTCTGTTCTGGAGAAGATTCTTTTACCTATGTATTCTTATGCAAGTCTGTGATCCCTCATTGTGGCCACACCTTAACCCCGGGGGTCATGATTTGAACAAATTGAATCTACATTTAGTAACTATGGATGCTTCCACATCACGTCATGAGATTAATCATTCCTGTCCTAATGGTTCTGAAGAAGATCTTTAAAAGGTTTTTCCTATGCATTCCTATATAAAATTTTGGTCGGCCATTGTGGCCCCATCCTACCCCCGGGGGTCAGGATTTGATCAAACTTGAATCTACACTACCTGAGGATGATTCCACATAAGTTCGTCGAAGATTTTAAAAAGGTTTTTCCTATGCATTCCTATGTAAAACTTGGAAACAAATTTGAATCTACACTACAGGGGTCAAGAGGTCATAGATGTGCATATCGATAAATGTTCAACAGAATTTCACAGTGACATCATAAAGGGTTGACACGCATTCAGTGTCTTGTATTCATGCCATTGGTTTTGAAAAATAATGCATTTCGCATGTTAAAAGCCACAAACAGCGTGATCAGGCAAATATAAAGTATGAATAAGTCACAAATGAAAATATAAGTAATATGGTATCATTTTACATCATCCCACGGGCTATAAATACGGGTTGTACGAAGCAATTAAATTCATTATAAAGCCCTTCAGGCTTTATGGAATTTAATCTTGTAAGTCATGACCAACCAATATTTATGTCCGGAGAGAGCTTTAAAAATACCTCAAATATAAGTAAGACTGAAAGTCCATTGTGCCCCCCCCCCCCCCCTTGGCTTGAAGAGGCTTGAAAGTACACTAACTGAGGATACTTCCATTTAAGTTCCATCTTTCCTGGCCCAGTGGTTCTTGAGAAGAAGTTGAAAATGTGAACATGTGAAAAGTTAACAAATGGACAGACAGACGCCGATCAAAATTTGATCTGAAAAGTTCACTTGAGCTTTCAGCTCAGGTGAACTAAAAAGCTACTAGTATTTAAAAACTATATACTTCCATATACATTACTATACAGAGAGACTGGCAAACAGACATTGTGTTTCCAGTATATTTTCAAAAAAATTTAGGGGTGACATATTAAATGGGTTTAAATATTTGATATGTGTTCAGAATAAATGCACTTTACCTGGTATTTTGAAGATTGCTTAAGGTGATGAAATATATTCACTTTCTTGTGATTAGCATGTTCATGTCAGCAAGACTTTATACTGAGTTAACCTACAATTAAAAAAAAAAATAATTAAAAATTTATTTGAAATGTAATATCTTCAACATATATGATCATAGATAGAAACCAAATTTTATGTGCAGCGTCTGATTCAAAGCAAACTTTTAGTACAGTGAAAGCAACTTGGCTTTAAATTTGTCTCTTTAGCATAAACTCTAGATCAATTTATAAAATTTTTCTAAATGAAAATTATGGATACACTATGTATTATTAGTTACATAGTCTTTTAGTGACAGGGTATGGGATGATACCTGGTTAGTAAATTTCATACCTGGCGAGGCGGAGCCGAGTGCAGGTATAAAAGCCACAAACAGGTGATCATCCCATACCCAAATATAAAGACTGTGTAAGTCACAAATGACCCCACCGATGTAACATTTACGTTTTATCTGTAGTTTATAAATGGTTTTCTCTGCTAAATCCTTCATCACGCTTATACTGTGCCTATTATGACGTCACGTTTATGTTTGTGACGTAATACATCGACCGGGTATAGATTACAACTGACCGGGTATGGATTTACAACTGACCGGGTATAAGTAATCCACCGCCTTCACGTGACAGACTTCAACCAATCATAAGCCAGGATTTCACGGAAAAATCGACAGAGGTGGGGTAAATAATATTTTATAAATAACCTTTATTCCTCCATGGTTATCCTGAAAAACATCAATTCAAGGAGGCACCAAGGAATGGTATATAGAGGCTGTAGTCTGCTCTTTTCTCCATGTCTTGCATACAAGTATCTTTTCTGTATTATGCATGCAGTAAAAGAAAAAATCTTGATTTAAAAATGCTTATAAAATGTTTCTGAACAAAATATTGACAAGTGTCAAGTTGTGACATGTAATTAACTGGTATTTTAAAAAAAATCAGTTGGGGTGTGTGAATGTAAAGAACGAGTGCACTTATGGGCCCCGGTAAAATGTGAAAAAATAAACATTCAAATTAAGCAAAAATTTTCATCCCAAATCATTAATTGATATCTAAACTGTAAGATTCAACAAATTTTACCGCTGAAATTCACGTATATACAAAGAACAAAACCATAGAATGCGGCAGGGGTCAACCGACATTTGTGATTTTCTATAGTAAATCGAGAACGGTCATTCATTTCAAAGCTTTTGTTTACTATGAGCCTAACTTTGTACAAACTTGTGCGAATGACAAAAAACGCATAATACATTTACAAAACTTGTGTGAAAGTAGGAAATTTGTACACGATTAGGCTGGTAGTTAAAATATTAAAAATGTACAAAAAGTACAATGTTTTTCCTATAGCAAGTGAGAGGTATTTACCTGTATGACCCATGTTGAACCCACTTGTGGAATAAATTATTTAAAATACTGAAAGTCACGTGAGTTCTACCCAGGTAAACATTCCTCAAAGGTGCTCACTGTAAAACATAGACAGGTTTTTTATCATTTAGTCAAATTCGCGCCGCTTAGATAATATTTCTATGTATCTATATTTAAGATTACGGTAGGGTAAAGAGAGTTAACGCCACTCATAAAAGTGTCAGACATTTTAACATTTATGCAAGACAATGAAACAGGTATTGAAAGCCACCTAAACACTCCTCTTAGATTTTAAATTCATTTTATTGTATATATTTTTTCAAATGCAAGAGTACAGATTTCTTAGTTTGATTATTATGGCTACAGGCAACTACACAACTTCTTTCAATTTTTTTAAAACAGATATAGCACAAAAAAGTTACATTCCACAAACGCGCCCGACTATGATCCACCATCAGATTGTTCAAGATCGATTCGCCTTGATTTACATAAACGAAACTAAAAGAAGGTTCGGTACGACTTTTCCGGATTTTTAAGGTGTCCATATAGGCATTTAAAAATAGCCAATTGTTTCAAATCCATGCTGATTTGGGTGATGATTATCGTGCTTTTTAATTAGAAATATACACTAGTATATAACTATTTCCAAAAGAGAACGATTTGGTTATATATTCTAAAGTAAAATGGTACATAAAAAGGGCCCATTAAGCATTGCTTAAGTGCACTTGTCCTTTCACTGTCATTACATTTACTCTGGGAATTGTTTACATTTTCTTCCACTTTCAATACCTGTTTTGAGTTCCACTGGCATTATAATTTAGGCAGCTGGATTCTTCCGAGTCTCGACGACAAAGTCCGATTTGATCCATTTCAGAAGTGCGAGTCAGATGTGATACCGAGTTCCAGCTGTTTAAAATACAATAAAAATAAATATCAAATCGGGTTTTTTTCTCGATAATGATGAAACCAATTAAGATGAACTGTTAGAATCAGGGAAAACATCGCTCACATTGCGTGTATAACTTCAACTTCGAGATGGTTATTGTTAACTTGTACACAATTTCTACTTTCACTTTCGAATTTTCTCCGTATCGTACGTAGGGCGGCAGTACAGCTGTACCGGTAGGCTTCAGTGTTCAAAGTGAAACAAATCTAACCAACTGAACAATAAATAGACCTAATAAAAATATCAATGCTGATATACAAATATCCAACATAGCAGAGATCTGGCACGTCGTTCACAGCCTACGACACAATACCGTAGTGAAAAAAGCCTATATCGGATACTACAACGTATCTCTATACAGATAGCCTGCAAGGACTGTTGAGTAATTATGCGTTATGTTGCTGTACATAAAGTTCAAACATTTAGGGACCTCTGAAATTATGAAACTCTCAAAAACGTAATATTACAAAGACTACAAAATACTTGCTTTTAACAGAGACTTGATAAATCCTTTTTCCTCGATCCTCTGTGTTTTCAATTTCTGTTACAGCTGATGACGTCAAGCATGACGTACAGTTTCGTCCGATAAAAACAAAACCGATCCTGAAAAAAGCTACGGACCATTTTTAGCCGGAAAAAAAATCCAAATCCAAGTTGACATTTTGAAAGATAGACATAGAGCTTCAGGGTTATAATTTAAGTCTAGATAAATTACTTTTTTAAGAATGTATGAAAAAAAAAGTGGACGAGGTGAAGAGGGTGCTAACAGCTAGTTAGAGCACCCCCCCCCTTTCCCAAATCCACACGTGTAACACACCCTTACACAAACACAAAGGCACTTGTGTCGGAAATAAATTGTATCGGAAATACTTTTTGAACCTATGGTATAATACTAACACAACTGTTATCTTTATATATTGGGGTTAAAAATTTATTTCCGACACAAGTGCCAATACCGCCCCCACCCTCCACCGCCAACCCCCAACCCCGGCTTTTGAGTATCCACATATGGACATCTTAATAATTAATTAAATGTCACTAAAATGATTAGAAAGTATTGTTTAAAGTAAGGTCTAAAATTTGAATAATAACATTAATCTCGGGTTATTCTAATTAACATGAAATTAACATTAAAGAATTAACGTTAAATTCACATTAACATGAAATTAACATGAAATTAACATTAACTAATTAACGTTAATCTAATGTTAATATTTTGGTTCTAGTTTTTTAAGACAGAACCCAAGCTCAATTAACATGAAATTAATGTTAAGTTAAATTAACGTTAAAAATTAACATGAAATTAATGTTAAGTTAAATTAACGTTAAAAATTAACGTTAATTCAATGTTAACTTTTTTAATGTTAACTTAACACGAAAGTAACATTAAACTAACATCAAGCTAACGTTAATTTAATGTTAATTGAGATTAACACTAAATTAACGTTAGGCACAATTGGCTGTGATATATGCATTATGAAAGCCTTAATAAGGCTGCATTATATGGAGAATAATACATACCCTTTTCCATATCACATCCTGTATCAGCCCGAGACACCAATATCAGCCAGAGGGCCTTCGGCCCTCTGGCTGATATTGGTCGAGGGCTGATACAGGATGTGATGTGGAAAAGGGTATGTTTTATTATATTTATTACATACTTAGTAATAACATACAGCTGAGAAGAAAATAAGTAAATAATCATGCATGGACTTCTTACATACATGTACATAGTCTAATGTCTCATAAGATTTGGGTTTGTTTCTATTTCTATTTCAATGCACTTGATCCGTAATTTGAAAATATTCTATAGTATTACATGTATTTGTAAATTAAGATTAACCTTATTTTCAAAAAGTTAAAATTAAGAGAATATGAACCCACCAAAAATTGTGTATGAGTACATGTACTGTTATTGTGGTTTAATTTACTAAGGGTGTGATATTGACGTCACAATAGCCGTATCAGCCCTGCAGGGCTGATATGGATTTGCAGGGCTGATACGGATATCAGCCCCGCAAATCCATATCAGCCCTGCAGGGTTGATACGGCTATTGTGACGTCAGTCATATCGCATATGCAAAAAACCTGTATTTATTACTAAGTGTGTAATAAATTTTGATATAACTTAGAATTCCCAAATATATTTTCCTTTGGCTTGTCCTGTTAAATCTCAAAATGGTCCCATCATTTCTTGAAAACTGAGGCCATCATGGCTCCACCTTTTGTATGACCTTTTCAGGGCAGGCATTGTTTTATGCTTGAAAAGATTTCTTTATGATTGCTGATTTTATTCCACACAAAAAAGATAGATGTTAAGACATGACTTACTGTTATCAAAGATTTAAAATACTCTCGTAAAGTTACTGGCATTACCTTCACCCCAAAAGATGTACACTTACAGTACAATTGAGTGACATACATTTTTAGTTTTAAGAGGTAGACTAGATTCTAGATGTGAAGGTATATAATATGTTATGGACAAGAAACATTAATACCTCCAGCAATCTTAGAATGAAAGCTTTTACTTTCTTTGGATCTTATCTGACCCATATTTTCTAGGTGATTGACCAGATAAACGTTTTTGGGTGAGTTTCCTTATAAGTCCTATGTTGACTATCTTTGCAAGTCAAGGATTTCTGATACGCTACTCTCCTCATAAACCCTTGGCATGCTGTGTTAAAAAAAGTTGGGATTTTTTTCTCAAATTGTGATTGGAGTCGATGGTTACTGTTTGACCAATCAGCAATTGTTTTTTGTATATGACGATATCTGCTCTCGAGATATATCTTGACTCTTTAAAGCAATATGAGCTGCATGTTTGACATCGGGAAAAAATGTTACAAATTTGTAATTAACTATTTCAATGACAGAAAAATAGAACATTTATAAACTTCTGTTGTTCATATTTGCTATGAAAGAACTTTTTATACGCGTTGATTGAAGCAAAATTGAATTATTGTCGTCCTGTACAATAATGATTTCTTATATAATACTGTATATTCAGTTGTACAGAAATATTTTTTCTGAAACATTTAAAACTTTATTTTGGTTTTATTGATCATAAGGGTTTAGATTACATACAGATTAATCATAATAACACATTTTACCAGCAAAATAAAATTCTCAAAAATGCAGCTCATATTGCTTTAATCTCAGGAATGAAAAACACTAGTAAACAAAGATAACGCCCCATTCTATGAATAGATATGCCATCATATGGTGTCATCTAATATCTTCAAAATATGTGATTAAGAACCTATATTGAAGCTGTAGATTTGTACTTTAAATGATAAATAAACATAACTCAATTATTGCATCTTAATTATTCATTAAAAATCCTGATTTTATCTTTTTTAAAATACACTTCTTTATTTCTGTCGATGACATAATCTGTGCATACCTGGTAGATTTGAGATCATGTGACAAAAACAATCCTGTCTTTTGATTTCACCTGTATGCCAAGGGTTTATGAGGAGAGTAGCATATCAGAAACCCTTGGCTAGCAAAGATGTATGCTGACCAACTTGCATTGATGATGCATTTCGTTATACAGACTTGTCTCAAATGGTGAATGTTACATTCCAATTCCTGGGATCATGAACATTGAACAGAAAAATTATTTTGAATTCAGAGCAGGTCTCTTTCCATGTAAATTCCTAGTCCTACCCTGATCAAAATTCCATAAATTCTGCATAATGACATACATGTAGTCATGTACCAAACTTTGCAGTTCAGAAGGTCGTTGTCCTGGTTTTGACCTCTTGACGAGGCTGTTAGTTAATTACTGTAATGAAAAAAGCATTCCTAACAGTAATGGAGATTTTGTGAGGAATCAGCAGAACTTTTATGTAATTGTATATTGGTACGTAAAAGTCATTCATTCTTTAATCAATGTAGATATCAATAATATTGTCAACAAATGCAGTTTGTAACATGTTATAGTTAATGAATTCTTGATAATAAAATCATTTAGTTCATGATATGAATTATAAAATTGTGAATGCAAGGTATCATAATGTATAAACTGTGAATACACAGTTTAACCCTTTGCAGACCTCATCAGTATAACCCCTGGTAGGCCCCTCTTTTCAAAAAACAGATAAACAAGGATAAACTGAAAAATAAAAATACAAACAGTAATCAAACCATTCCCCACAGAGCGAGCTCAGATTGATAAGGCTGGTAAAGTCTGGTTTCTGTGTTAGTGCGACTTCATGGAAAAGCCAAATATATAAGCAAGACTCAAAGGTGTACAATCTCTATACCTGGAAATTATTCATTGTTGTTTTTATAAATACAGGTATGTTGACTGTAATTATATTCACAAATGCCATGATGTGAGAGTTCTTTGTATGTACATTGTGTACAATTTGTAAATAACCAGTGCTTGTGAGGCTGTTTTATTTATGTACCTGTTAACTTCAGAGTCGGACGGTTTTAATGATTGAGAGGCAGATTCTGATCATATGTAGGAGTGACCTCCTATTAGGGGTCAATTTACATTCAAAGTTTGACCAGTAAAAAAGAAGACACCTTGGGTTGGAGTAGTTCTATAGGTCAGATATTTCTGCTTACTCGGGAGTTTTTTTTACAGAGGTAGTCAAATGTGCATGATGACGTTAATTTGAAAAATCATTCATGCACAAGTTCTGAGAAAAACTGCTACTCTATTTATTTGGTATTACAAATGTAGTTTCATGGATACAGCTTTATGCTGGTGGGATTTTAGAAGGTAGAGACAGCGGTAATTTATGAAATGAATATATATTAATTTTTTTTATTCTAGTCATTAATCAATTGGAGGTCAAGTTTTGATGAAATTTATAAAGTGATGTCAAGATAATCTTGTTTTTTGTATGTCCATGCATGTTTGGTTAACTCTTAAATTGAGTCTTAAGTTTGAATTACCAATATAAACTTGAGTTACAAGTACTGGTATATTAACAAGTATTGTAACTTTTATGCTGTATAGACTGTTGAATTTATCATAATTAAGAGTTGCATCCTCTGTTCTTATTGAGATGTTCTCTGTTTAATCCTTGCCTTTTCAGAAGATTTACATTGATTTATTTCTGGCTTATTTAATTAATGTGTGTCAGGTTTTTTTTTCTGAGGAAAAAAAATCCAAGCAGTTTTTAAAGATTTTGTAAGAACTCAGGAAACATGCATCCTATTAGAGTGCTAGCTTTGATTATAAACTTTTTTATCTCACAGCTACTGGAAGATAGAGGCAGTAAAATGCTTTCTTAATCAAAACTTGCTGGTGTAATGGAGGAGATTATATAAGCAGGAAGATATGACACAATGTTTTTTAGAAATAAACTGAAAAATCATCTGTCACCGTCTGTCCCCAGTCCGTCTGTAAACTTTTACATTTTCATTCAAGAACCACTGGGCCAATTTTGACCAAACTTGGTACAAAGCATCCTTGGGTAATGGGGAATTTAAATTGTTAAAATTTCACCCTCCCACAAAAATACATTAAAAAATCTTCTTCTCAAGAACCACTTGTGTGTCTTATGTGGAAATGTGTAAGTAAGTGATCATGACCCCCGGGGGGAGGGCGGGGCCACAATGGGGGACAAAGTTTTATATAGAAATATATAGGAAAAATCTTTGAAAATCTTCTTTCAAGAACCACTGGGCCAGAAAACAAACTTATGTGGAATAATCAGCTATAGTGTAGATTTAACTTTTAAGGCCACAATGGGGGTGAGTTTTATATAGAAATATATAGGAAAAATCTTTGAAAATCTTCTTTTCAAGAACCAGTGGGCCAAAAATGAAACTTATGTGGAAGCATCCTGGTATAGTGTAGATTCTAAATTGTAAAAATCATGCATAGGATATCAAAGTTTTACAGGAAAAATCTATTGAAAATATTCCATATACCACTGGGCCACAAAAGTCTGAAATTATTGAAAGCTTCCTGGTAAATGTAGATTCTAAATTGTTCCAGAAATATATATTAACAGGCCACAATGGGGAATCAAAGTTTTATATAGAAATATATAGGAAAAATTTTTGTTTTTATGAACCACTGGGCACAAAAAGCTGAAATTATTATATCCTGGGGTAGTGTAGATTCTAAATTGTTCACTCCATGACCCCCAAAAGGGCGGGGCCAAAATTTCAAAGTTTTATATAGAAATATATAAGAAAAATCTTTGAAAATCTTCTTCTCAAGAACCACTGGGCCAGAAAAGCTGAAACTTATTTGGAAGCATCCTGGTATAATTTAGATTCTAAATTGATAATTATGGAGGAATTCTGGGGAATCAAAGTTTTATATAGAAAGATATAGGAAAAATCTTTGAAAATCTTCTTCTCATATGTGCCCATGGAAGGATCATGGGGTAGTGTAGATTTCAAAATGTCTAAATTATGATCAGTGGGGTAAATATGTATAACAAGGGGGAAATATGTAAAGAACAGAATTCAAAGCTTCTCAGGTGAGCGATGTGGCCCATGGGCCTCTTGTTAGAAATAAACTGAAAAATCATCTGTCACCCCAGACAGGATATAATCATTACTGGGTCCTATGTAAATCTCTGTGGTTTTCTGTCTTTTCACACCCATGATACACAATCTTTGTGTACAATCCCTGTGTGTCTATTTAGTGTCTGAGTAAGTGATAATACAGGAGGTCCTTGACAAAGATGAGCATTTAACTTATTGCTTTATAGGAGACAAACAGGACTATCAGCTTTGGGTAAGGTAATGTGATTTGATTCAATATTGCTTTCTTTCTTTTCCTTGCAGAAATAAGCAATCTCCCTTTAAGTGTTTAAACAGTTCTGCATTAAAGTTGACAAATTTCTAGGTTGAATGATAGGCTACTTATATCCTGGAATAGAATTTTGTTAACTGATGTCAATGTCCTGGGTTCTTTTTTAAAATGAAAATTTTGGTATAAAATAAGTTTTCTTTTTGAAATATGAATATATAGGAACTATTATTGCATAAACTGCACACATTTTCAATTGATTCTTTATGCAATCAATTGCATGACATAATGTGTAAATATTTTTCCATGCAGTAAGCAAATATTTTTTTTTTTATGAAGCAGTTCAGTTTGTCTTAATTAATACCTGCTTGGTGCTGAAGTCAGTTTTACGTGTACACAATGTATATACAGTTGTAACCTTTGTATGATAAGATCACATCATTCCTCAGCAGTCTGTACATGTGAGGTACATGTTGAAATGTAATCATTGGCAATCGTTGTTCCCCCTCCATTAGTTCTGTAGGTACCACTAGTTCTGTAGGTACCACTACCTGTTTGTTGATGTGTTCCCCCTCCATTAGTTCTATAGGTACCACTACCTGTTTGTTGATGTGTTCCCCCTCCATTAGTTCTGTAGGTACCACTACCTGTTTGTTGATGTGTTCCCCCTCCATTAGTTCTGTAGATACCACTACCTGTTTGTTGATGTGTTCCCCCTCCATTAGTTCTGTAGATACCACTACCTGTTTGTTGATGTGTTCCCCCTCCATTAGTTCTGTAGATACCACTACCTGTTTGTTGATGTGTTCCCCCTCCATTAGTTCTGTAGGTACCACTACCTGTTTGTTGATGTGTTCCCCCTCCATTAGTTCTATAGGTACCACTACCTGTTTGTTGATGTGTTCCCCCTCCATTAGTTCTATAGGTACCACTACCTGTTTGTTGATGTGTTCCCCCTCCATTAGTTCTATAGGTACCACTACCTGTTTGTTGATGTGTTCCCCCTCCATTAGTTCTATAGGTACCACTACCTGTTTGTTGATGTGTTCCCCCTCCATTAGTTCTGTAGATACCACTACCTGTTTGTTGATGTGTTCCCCCTCCATTAGTTCTGTAGATACCACTACCTGTTTGTTGATGTGTTCCCCCTCCATTAGTTCTGTAGGTACCACTACCTGTTTGTTGATGTGTTCCCCCTCCATTAGTTCTGTAGATACCACTACCTGTTTGTTGATGTGTTCCCCCTCCATTAGTTCTGTAGGTACCACTACCTGTTTGTTGATGTGTTCCCCCTCCATTAGTTCTGTAGGTACCACTACCTGTTTGTTGATGTGTTCCCCCTCCATTAGTTCTTTAGGTACCACTACCTGTTTGTTGATGTGTTCCCCCTCCATTAGTTCTGTAACCACTACCTGTTTGTTGATGTGTTCCCCCTCCATTAGTTCTGTAGGTACCACTACCTGTTTGTTATGTGTTCCCCCTCCATTAGTTCTGTAGGTACCACTACCTGTTTGTTGATGTGTTCCCCCTCCATTAGTTCTATAGGTACCACTACCTGTTTGTTGATGTGTTCCCCCTCCATTAATTCTGTAGGTACCACTACCTGTTTGTTGATGTGTTCCCCCTCCATTAGTTCTGTAGATACCACTACCTGTTTGTTGATGTGTTCCCCCTCCATTAGTTCTGTAGGTACCACTACCTGTTTGTTGATGTGTTCCCCCTCCATTAGTTCTGTAGGTACCACTACCTGTTTGTTGATGTGTTCCCCCTCCATTAGTTCTGTAGGTACCACTACCTGTTTGTTGATGTGTTCCCCCTCCATTAGTTCTGTAGGTACCACTACCTGTTTGTTGATGTGTTCCCCCTCCATTAGTTCTATAGGTACCACTACCTGTTTGTTGATGTGTTCCCCTCCATTAGTTCTGTAGGTACCACTACCTGTTTGTTGATGTGTTCCCCTCCATTAGTTCTGTAGGTACCACTACCTGTTTGTTGATGTGTTCCCCCTCCATTAGTTCTATAGGTACCACTACCTGTTTGTTGATGTGTTCCCCCTCCATTAATTCTGTAGGTACCACTACCTGTTTGTTGGAGTGTTCCCCCTCCATTAGTTCTGTAGGTACCACTACCTGTTTGTTGATGTGTTCCCCCTCCATTAGTTCTGTAGGTACCACTGATGTGTTCCCCCTCCATTAGTTCTGTAGGTACCACTACCTGTTTATATGTGTTCCCCCTCCATTAGTTCTGTAGGTACCACTACCTGTTTGTTGATGTGTTCCCCCTCCATTAGTTCTGTAGGTACCACTACCTGTTTGTTGATGTGTTCCCCCTCCATTAGTTCTGTAGGTACCACTACCTGTTTGTTGATGTGTTCCCCCTCCATTAGTTCTGTAGGTACCACTACCTGTTTGTTGATGTGTTCCCCCTCCATTAGTTCTGTAGGTACCACTACCTGTTTGTTGATGTGTTCCCCCTCCATTAGTTCTGTAGGTACCACTACCTGTTTGTTGATGTGTTCCCCCTCCATTAGTTCTATAGGTACCACTACCTGTTTGTTGATGTGTTCCCCCTCCATTAGTTCTGTAGGTACCACTACCTGTTTGTTGATGTGTTCCCCCTCCATTAGTTCTGTAGGTACCACTACCTGTTTGTTGATGTGTTCCCCCTCCATTAGTTCTATAGGTACCACTACCTGTTTGTTGATGTGTTCCCCCTCCATTAGTTCTATAGGTACCACTACCTGTTTGTTGATGTGTTCCCCCTCCATTAGTTCTGTAGGTACCACTACCTGTTTGTTGATGTGTTCCCCCTCCATTAGTTCTGTAGGTACCACTACCTGTTTGTTGATGTGTTCCCCCTCCATTAGTTCTGTAGGTACCACTACCTGTTTGTTGATGTGTTCCCCCTCCATTAGTTCTGTAGGTACCACTACCTGTTTGTTGATGTGTTCCCCCTCCATTAGTTCTGTAGGTACCACTACCTGTTTGTTGATGTGTTCCCCCTCCATTAGTTCTGTAGGTACCACTACCTGTTTGTTGATGTGTTCCCCCTCCATTAGTTCTATAGGTACCACTACCTGTTTGTTGATGTGTTCCCCCTCCATTAGTTCTGTAGGTACCACTACCTGTTTGATGTGTTCCCCCTCCATTAGTTCTGTAGGTACCACTACCTGTTTGTTGATGTGTTCCCCCTCCATTAGTTCTATAGGTACCACTACCTGTTTGTTGATGTGTTCCCCCTCCATTAGTTCTGTAGGTACCACTACCTGTTTGTTGATGTGTTCCCCCTCCATTAGTTCTATAGGTACCACTACCTGTTTGTTGATGTGTTCCCCCTCCATTAGTTCTGTAGGTACCACTACCTGTTTGTTGATGTGTTCCCCCTCCATTAGTTCTATAGGTATCACTACCTGTTTGTTGATGTGTTCCCCCTCCATTAGTTCTGTAGGTACCACTACCTGTTTGTTGATGTGTTGGCAGTTCAAGGAGAGGAGTTCTATCAGACTCCAGGGCAGCCTTCGTTAGGAGATTCGTTAATGTTCACATCAAGATATTGTCATTAACCACACAGAGTTTTTTACTTGGCTGGGGATTTATGTGTGTGTGTTTTGATTGGGAGAAAGTTTTACATATTGATGTTTGTTTTTGTGGGGGATATATACTACAGTGAACCTATCTTGTGTTTGTGTTATGTTGGATTATGATAATATTGTACCTCAATACCAGGAGGAAAGATTGTATTGTGTAGAGCGCTAGCAGGTGCTTGTGTGGGATTCTAACTATTGTGCAAGTTTTAATCAAGGAAAGGGGAAAGTACATATTTCTCTTGAGTGTACACATAAATATCTGATTTCTTTGGTTTATAACTGGAATACAGGTTTATATGGTATGTTCATGATGTTAGATTAGTATATCTCTTGATCTCTTATGATCATTAAATCCTAAAATAATAAAATGATCAATTTTTTTAGGTCCAGTGTTACTTATTATAGATTTGTATATCTTTATAAAAGAAGATAAATTAATTATTTAATTCAGGACTATTTTCTTAAATTGTTAAGACTGTATTTTATTTCTTTCAGATGAATGCCTATGAATGTTTTGACCTTTGACCTTGTCGTGATCATTTCCTGGATGAATATCCTCCATGCCGTGACGTCCGCTAAGCGGGAGGCAGCTCCGCAGATAAAGAAGTTAAAATCTACATGTAGCAGCGGATCCGAGTGTCCGGTCAGCTTTCCTAAGGCGGAGCTTAAGAAACGCCTCACACCGCTCGAGTACCATGTAACGCAGGAAAAGGGGACCGAAAGGTATAATACTCCCCCCCCACCTGTATCTTAATTACCAGCTATATATATGGTACACATTGTATCTAATGTATGTAGGCATGAACGATTCAAAGCCATTTGTCTCACATGGGAATAGATACGTATGATGTGTAAATTGAAATGATCAGTGGATATTTTCAAACTTATACATTAATAAACAATGTATTAATTCATGTAAAATAATGACAGAGAAGTTGAATTGTTTCGCAAACCATACTTTCTGCAGCAATGCATAATTTTTACTTTAAATTACTTTTCTAAAAGTTGAAAATTAAAATGAATGTCTGTATTGCCAAGTTTTTTTTATTGATTTACAATGAATTAAGTTTGATGTCTTGTTTAGGGCCTTTTCTGGTAAATATGAATGCCTGTATTTCCGAGTTTTTATATGGGTTTATAATAAATTAAGTTTGATGTAATGTTTATAGGGCCTTTTCTGGTAAATATGTGAACAATAAGGAGGAGGGGGTTTACACGTGTGTTGTGTGTGGGAATCAGCTGTTCTCATCTGACTCCAAGTTTGACTCCAAATCTGGCTGGCCCTCCTTCTACGATGTCACGAATAAAAAACAGATCACTGTTAAAGACGATAACTCGCATGGTATGGTATTGTAAATCACTTAACACCTGAAAATAAATACCACCTGTTCTCAAAAACATAAATGGGATTATGTTTTCAGCCATGTCTGTCTGTCTTGACCTTATTTACCTCAGAATCAAAAGGTACATGTACCATCATTATGCCACAGGAAGTTGTGATAAAATATTTCATCGCAAAATCTCAAAGACATCTTGAGATATGGCACGGAAATGAATATGTTACACGCAGACAGAATGTATGAATTAAAATCCATGACCTTTGACCTAAAACAATGGGAGTCTTATTCAGGTCATAGGAAGTTGTTAAATAAAATTTCATGGCAAAAGCTCAAAGGCTTCTTAAGATACCAAGTGTTACAGATAGCCAGATATACAGACAGACAGCTGGACATACTGACTTGCGGTCAGACAGACAGACCCAAATTAATATCCCCCTACTTTTTAGTAAAAGGGGGAACAAAAATTTAGGTCAAATTCTAGGTCAGGTTCATGATGTCATTTATTCCTCTGAATACTTGTACTTAATACAGTAAAACTCGGTTATAGCGAAGTCCTGGGGACCTGTGAATTTAATTCGCTATATCCGTAATTCGTTATATCCGTATAACAAATTCGTATAACCATTATAGCAAATTCGCTCTATGCATGTTTTTCTTCAAGTATTACTACCAACTATGTTAGCAGGGCTCCCACTGGACAGAAAATTTTTTTGCCACTTATCGCGACAAAAGGAAAGGCATTATTACATCTGATTTCTCGAAAATGCAATGCACTTTATGTTATTCCTTTTTTATTATGTTTATCACAGACATTGTTTAAAATTGTTATGTTTAAAGCTTATGGTAGTGTCCATTTAAAAAAAATAAATAAAGTTGTAATTATACAATTAATTTGATATTGAATTGATATCAGCCAACCCTTGACAGATAATGTCCTCGTTTATAACTTTTTGTTTGCCTGGGGAAGGGGGGGGGGGGCTACAGACGTAGTAAAAATATATTACATTTTTTGAAAATGTAAATTTTCATCATTTCATAAATTAATTGGGAAAAGAGGTAATTAACAAGATGTGTTTGTGAAACACTATGCGCCCGGCGGCAACAAAATTCGAAAAAAGCTATTTTTAGCATATAGGTCACAGTCAAGGTCACAAGGTCATTGACCTTGGTGTCATTTCGAAGAACTTGATTAGTAGAATATGCATACCAAATATGAAGTCTCTATCTTTTATGGTTCAAAAGTTATGGCGAAGGTTAAATTTTGCAGAAAAAACTATTTTTAGCAGATAGGCCACAGTCCAGGTCACAAGGTCATTGACCTTGGTGTCATTTGAAAGAGCTTAATCAGTGAAGTATGCCTACCAAATATGAAGTCTCTATCTTTCATGGTTCAAAAGTTATGGCGAAGGTTAAAGTTTGCGGACAAACAAACAGACAGACAGACAGACAGGTCAAAAACAATATACGCCTCGGATCTATCGATCCGGGCGCATAAAAAGTAATGAGAATTAGATTTAAACTTGACTTTATTTTAACAACTTGGAGACTCCAGAGTATATAATATGCAAGCTCATGTCATTGTAAATAATTCAGTGTAATTTACTAAGATAATTCTGTTTCCAAACCAATTTCTTTTTCACTATTTGTCAGTTTATGGTATAATGTACATATTTTTCAATTTTCATTAGGTAAAATTTGAAGCCATTCTTTACAATTTTCGTCATGTTTCCTTACTTTCGGTTTTAAAAAAACAATCTCCATAGATCCAGATTTTGTTGATAATTTTTTTTTTAGCTCTACTGGTCAGAGACCAGAAGAGCTTATGCGATAGTAATGCGTCTGTCCGTCCGTCTGTCTGTCTGTCTGTCTGTAAACAATTTTTCAAAATGCTACTCCTCCTACAGTTTTGGTCCGATTTCAATATAACCTGGCACACAAGTAGACTACACCAAGATACATAATTTTGTGCATCGGCTTATGATTTTGAAGAATGGTGTTGCCGTGGTTACTAAAAATAGAAATTTCTGTGAAATTCTTTCGAAATGCTACTCCTCCTACAGTTTTGGTCCGATTTCAGTATAACTTGGCACACAAGTAGACAACACTAAGATACATAATTCTGTGCATCAGTTTTTGATTTCGATGAACGGTGTTGCCGTGGTTACTAAAAATAGAAATTTCTGTGAAATTCTTTCGAAATGCTACTCCTCCTACAGTTTTGGTCCAATTTCAATATTACTTGGGACACAAGTAGACTACACTAAGATACATAATTCTGTGCATCGGTTTTTTATTTCGATGAATGGTGTTGCCGTGGTTACTAAAAATAGAAATTTCTGTGAAATTCTTTCGAAATGCTACTCCTCCCACAGTTTTGGTCTAATTTCAATATTACTTGGCACACAAGTAGACTACACTAAGATACATAATTCTGTGCGTTGGTTTTCGCTTTCGATGAACGGTGTTGCCATGGTTACTAAAAATAGAAATTTCTGAGAAATTCTTTTAAAATGCTACGCCTCCTACAGTTTTGGTCCGATTACAATATAATTTGGCACACAAGTAGACTATACTAAGATACATAATTCTGTGCATCGGTTTTTAGCTCTACTGGTCAGAGACCAGAAGAGCTTATGCAATAGTAAGGTGTCTGTCGTCCGTCCGTCTGTCTGTCTGTAAACAATTTTTCAAAATGCTACTCCTCCTACAGTTTTGGTCCGATTTCAGTGTAACTTGGCACACAAGTAGACTACACTAAGACACATAATTCTGTGCATCGGTTTTTGATTTCGATGAATGGTGTTGCCGTGGTTATTAAAAATAGAATTTTCTGTGAAATTCATTTAAAACACTACTCCTTCTACAGTTTTGGTCTGATTTCAATTTAACTTGGCACACAAGTAGACTACACTAAGATACATTAAATAGTGCATCGGTTTTTGATTTTGATGAATGATGTTGCCATTGGTACTAAAAATAGAAATGTCCGTGAAATTCCTTTAAAACATCACTCCTTCTACAGTTTTGGTCTGATTGCAATGGCTTCTTTTCTTATCCTTTGTTATAAGTACAAACCAGTATGAATTGAATCTTATACATATACATATACAAATGCTAAAAGGAAATAAAGTAAGTTCAATTTATCATTTTTCATAATCTGTGGAAGTTCTTTATAAAAGATGTAAATTTCACTATATTTAACCACAACGGGACTCAAAATCAGTTCTCTATATCCGTAAATTCATTATATCAGAGTTCGTTATAACCATAAAATTTTACAAAGATTTGTTACGAATTTTGACGGGGACCCAGAAAAACTTCGCTATATTCATGTTCGTACTAAACGATTTTTACTGTACTCAGCTCTCTGACCCACTATTCCATTCCTAACCCTCTGGTTTCTATTGACAGGAATGCGTAGGAAGGAGGTGGTGTGTTCTAAGTGTGGGGCCCATTTGGGTCACGTTTTCAATGACGGACCTAACCCCACGGGTTTACGCTACTGCATCAATTCTGCCGCTCTCCTCTTCCAGCCCAAAATAAACAACAAAATCAAGTCTGAACTGTGATTGTTTCAATTAATGAAATCGAGTCTGAACTATGATTGTTTGAAGAATTTTACTCACAGACAATAAGCAGACTAAATGCTTCTTCAAATTTGTGAAATTCACTTGATGAAATTACATGTGCTTGTAAATGAGATAAAGCTTTAATAAAAATAAGACTGATCATGCATAGTTCTGCTTGTCTTGTTTTCCTAAAATATTTAATAGACCGTTCACTTCCTCTATCTCATGTTTAATAAAATGAATAAGGGAGGGGGGGTGTAGAAATTTTGTGAAGACAGTTTTTAATAGTTTTTAATTTCCACAAAATATTCTGTATTACTGTTAGTTGATATGGCGTTCCAGTTTCTTCATGAAGGAACAAATATTTTTGACATAACAATCGCCTGATATATAAACATGAACTGAATGTGAGGTACTTTTGACTTGGGGCAGGGTAACCTCCAGCATGTACATATAAGGAGCTTAGGGACATTAACCAAGGCTCTAACTTTTAGGACCTGGTATAGAATCAAATACAGCTATTACTGCAGCTGTTATCAGGTTTTTAGTCTACTGGTTAAAATTCTCATGTGAAAATATATTGTGACCTGTCTGTCTTCCTGTCTGTAAATAAAAATTTAAAATGCAAATATTCTGTCATTTTTTGTGTAATTTCAATAAAAATTGTTACAAAGGTAAACATTATCTTAAGCAATTAAATACTCTAATATCAATAAAACATAATAGAACATTTTCCTGATTACATGCATCTCCATTTGGGTCAAATGTGCAAAGCTCAAGTTTGAAAATGTTGCATAAACATGTACATGTATTACGTCGTATAATTTGGGGAAAAGAGAATTAACAACTTTTTCAAAAAAAAAGTTACCTCATTCTTTTTTCTACAATCTATATTGATTAGTAACAATATGTGAGGAATCAATTTTATGATTCTATGATCCTGAGGAATTATTTACATTTCTGTTAATTTACTTCTAGGTATGCAGCGATTGGAGGCAAAATGTGCCGATTGTAACTCACATATAGGTCACGTCTTTGACGATGGTCCAAAACCAACAGGACTACGATACTGTGTCAATTCAGCTGCACTCAGCTTCAAAAAACAAACCACAGTTTGACGGTGTGACAGTAATGGCGTGTCATCTACAACAAGAGTTTCTCTCTCCTGAGTGGAATAGCTGTGGAATGCGCAAACAAAGCTCGTTTGTTTATTATAAATCACTTGTTTGTTAGAAAGTATTTTTATGATTAATTTGGATAGCGTTTTGATCTCTTTTTTTGATAGGTGCTGTTTTTAGGGAAACACTTTAAAAAGGCTTAAAATGTGTCTATAAATTGCAACTTAAGCAACTTTGTATATTAAATACATATGATTGCAATTTTACATGCTTTAATTTTTTTCTTATTTGCATTGAAATAAAAAATGTGTCTATAAATAAAATCTATTGCTAAACTTTAATTTTAGGTTTTCTTTATAAATTCTTTTGTAAAATCTAAGGCCTTAATGTATCTGCTTTTCTCAAATCATTATTATTCTGTTATGACTTTTATTATGTCATTCAATTCAATAAATTAGTAAATTACATGTATTTATCAATGAATGTATGGGGTCAAACATATACAAAAATATAACATATATTAGCTAAATATATATTTACTATTTTATAAGTATGGTGCTATAATAGAAATTAAGTTTTAGATGTGATAAGAAAAGAGTTGTCTCTCTTTATATATAGTGCTTGCACTGCTTTATACTGGTTTTTGTCACAGAGCTGTGGGATTTTTAATAAAATGGCAATCCTGACTTCATGTTGTCTTCATGATTATGTTTGTGTATTATATGACTTTATTGCAGAAAATAGTAAGCATTTGTCTCCTATAATACCTTTTTTTTCATATAATGAAATGCAACCTAAGGTCATTTTGATTTAATTTATTTACACGTATGTTTTATACACTGTACCTAGCTTTTATAGATTTTTTGTTTTAAAACTATTTACTCGTTTTATAGAATTGAGTCATTGTTTATTTGCAAGTTTATCGATGCTAATCTCAGAGTTGTATATGGACATGTCTATTTTGTGTATTTGTTTACAAAAAATAATGTAGCTTTTAAGGCCCCATTTTGTCTTACTTTGTCATGGACATAGAATCGAATACAAGTATTTCTTTTTTAATCTTCATTAATTTTATAACTTAGATATTAAGAACCCTCTCTACACAACACACTAAAGAGTTCTGATTCTATAGTATTTTTGCAGTTAGAGTTATCTCTCCTTACATCTACATTCTACAAACAAAAAAATTAAATTTATAGTATTTGTCTCAATTTCTAATAAATTCAAGTATTCTTAACATTATAAAAGGCCAAGGTAAAATAATTGATCTTTTTATTTACAAATAGTTTCTCTATGGAAGTAAACAACAGTGATTTCTATTTATTGATACTGTGTAAAGTCTGTGTTGTGTTTGAACATTTTTTCCTTTAGGTAAATGCTAAGTACCATATACTGAAAATTAAATAGATAAGCACAGTATTAACACCTTTATAAATATATTTCTCTCAATTTCCAAAAAACATTTTACACTGGTGTAGAGATGGTGATGGTCCTTAAGTAATTTTGCTTCAGAAAAATTTTAAATACAGGATACATTGTATTTTTTTTTTTCTTTTTTGCAAAATTGCATTTTTATATACATAAGTACAGATAAATACTGAGAATGTCTTATCTTGATTGTGTACAATATTTGGTGGAAATTGATATTCAAACAAGTTAGCTTAGATTTGAATTAACAGTTTCCAAAGCAAAATGATGAAAAATGGTATGAAATTGATTAAAATTCAGCATTTTATTTTTATCTTTGTCTTCCTGGCAGTGAAAAGGTAGAAAAAGTGGTTTGAATCATATTACTTTAGGGTATTTTATGTCAGACTCTGATTTGCTCATTTCTTTAATAATTCAATTAGAAGTGTGAGATTTTGTTTCCATGTCTTTTATTTAATTTAATTCATATGTATATATATATATCAAAATATGATTATATTGTTGTTAACATATGCAGATACAAAAAAAAAACTTTTCAGGGCTTTTTTTTTGCATGGGAATATTAGTGCAATAAGTTACTTTTCATTATTTTATTGTTTTATAACAAAACGTCTAAATACAAGTATCTCTTAGACAATACAATCCACAAACCTTAGCCTGTGCAAAGATTTATGCTGGATTAATTGATTACTTCTGGACTAATTGCAAAACCAGCCGTATTCTTGTAGCCATGAATTTTAATTTTTTTTTTCATCTAATGATGAATATGACAAAAGATGTTATTATATGTTTACTATGTTTTGCTTTGCCACAATTTCCGCATTAAAAAATGCTTGCTTCTTGCTTGTTTTGTTTTTGAAATTGGTGTTTAATATTTGCTTAAATTGGAAAAAACATAGTCGTATCATTCTCATTACATATTGGAATGTTCTTAAACAAAGTTTGAAGTGCTTTACATTTTCTCAACTAATTTATATGTGTTTGGTTTCACTGCATTCTGGGATTTGTTTAATGTGTATATGCTACTCTTTGCATTCAATTCAAACTTTTCTCTATAGCAATGGCTTTTTTTTTTATTCGATTTTAATTTTTTTCTATGAAAGGTATATTTTATAGAGTGGTTATCTGGTTATCTTTTCTTCAAGATATACTTGATCTATGTCGGGAAAACATTTTAGCTCAGGATGGCAACAATGTGATTGTATTTCTTAATCAGCTCAACTACTCAGAAAAAATGTTCAAAAAGGGGGGGGGGGGCATTTTCAAATTGCTCTCTTTAAATATACTTTATTGATGATAAATGAATTTTTTTTTAGGTTTCACAAAAACATTTTACAATGCATTATATCTGTTTTATTCTTTCATTTCTTTCTCCAAATAATTCATTTGAGATGTTTTTGTGAAGCATGTTCTTTTTTAAAATAACTTTTTTATATTTTCTGACAAAACAGAGTGAACTTTAAACTTCACTTGTATCAGAATCTCATACCAAACAAACAATCTAGGTAAGGTTCATCCACCGGGAATGGCCTGTCTCTCAGAATTGGCATTTTACATTTTTTGATGCCATTTTGAATTGAGTACTTGAAAATTGAGAGTTTTTCATTTAATCTGAAGAATGGCCTCTATCATTGAAGTGTACTTTAAATCTGTTATAAATTTATGTAAATGTAGAATTTCTAGTTTTTAAATAATAGATGTGGCCACATCCTAAGATAGAAATTACATAATAATTAAGAGATTTTAAAGCTTATTGATAATTTTTTTTTTGAAATGTCATATGAACACATTTGTATATGTTAATTTATAATTAGTGTGTTTATGTGGAATTGAGTTAATTTAATCAGATATTAAAGACAACATATTTAAGATCAGTTTACGACTGTGATATAGTTTTATTTTAGTAGTTTTGAACTTTATACTTGTTTTTTGTTGTTGGTGGTTTTAAACTTCTTGGTTTAGTAAAATTGTTTATTATTAAGCATGTATGTACATTGCATTTTTGAACAATCGCGATAATTGTATTTCAATTTATGTTTGTTTGTTTGTTTGTTTTTTAAATTTAAAGCTGCTGAGAACAAATGCAGTCTCACTACTGTCTTCTCTTACAGGGATATCAGATTTATTCACCCCCAAATGATTTCTCTCAGTGTGTCATGTCTTATCAGCAATATAAAGCCTTATTTTTGTTTTTTCGGCAATAAACTGCTTGTTATATCTCAAGTTCGTTTGTTTTGAGCTCTAGTATCTGAGTGAGCAGTAGTGCATGTTGTAAATTCCACGTGGAGATTACCCCCCCTATTCGTGAGGTAATATCCTTTGCTTGTTGTAATTCTTGAATTATAACATGCTAGTTACAAATTACTTTCTCAGATGTTTTTCTATTTAAATAATTTTGTACTCTTATTTAATACTCCTGAAATTGATCACATTTTTATTGAGGATAAAATAATGTAAAAGTCCAAAAATTAACTTGAATTTTGCATGAAGCAGATATATTTATTAGCTGCGAGACATACTGAGGTCGTTAAGCATTGGACCGAATTTCGCTCATCATCAGATGAGTTCATGAAAACAAATAGCGAGGAGTGGAATCGTTTTACAGTAGGATGCCGT